GCCCCGAGGCCTCCCCCGGCGCGGGGGCCCTGCCCCGGGGGCCCCGGGGGCCGTCCGAGGAGGCTCCCCGCCGAAGAGAGGCGCCCCCCGAGAAGAGCCCCGCGGCGCCCGCCCCGCACCAACAAAAAAGAAAAGAGGTCCAGGCCTCGGAGGTCTGGGGCGTCGCGGCGGCCCCAGAGTTCCCACGCCGCAGAAGAAAGAATTGGAGCGGCGGGTTTCTGGCCGTTTTCAGTCTCCGAGGGCCCTCGGTGGGCCTCGGGAGCGTCAAAAAACGACTCAGGACGAGAAACCGGCCCCGGGGAAGTGGTCTGGGGCCTAGGCCTACGCATCGACAAACATTGGAGCGGCCGGATATCTGCGCGGTGAGGCCTCCCAGCTGGAGTAACTACGAGCACATTGCCCCGCATCGCCGATGCGCCGCCAGCGCATCCAGCGACGCGTCGGCGATGCATCGGCGATGCATCGGCGGTGCGGCATCGGCGCCGTCTGCGCGGAGAGATTCGGGCTCAACATCGAGCTGCATCGCCGATGCGGCACGATCCCCCGATCCCTATTTGTTCGGCCTGGAGCCGCAGGGGACGACGACGACGAAGATGATCGAACCCAGACCTCCGGCAAGATGTTGTTTTCGAATCCCACCGTTGTTCCTTCATCTCGGCCCCCCGTCATCGGGCCACGGGGCAATCGAAAGTAATGGAAGACCCCCCCAGAGGCCCCCAAGATGCCCCCAAGAGGCCCAACGAGGCTCCAAAACTGCACCCGCGAGCACGCAGGGGAGTGCCACCGATGCTACAATATCGGCCAGCGGGATGAGCGAAGCGATTTAATCATGGATCTGGAGGGAAACTAAAATTAGCCCCGGGAAAGGGGTCGGAATCTCTAGGGCAGCGGATCGAAAGGATCACATGGTCGTGCGCGTGGGGGCGACGAGGGTGAGGATCGAAGACTCTTGGACGCTTTGCAGCAGGCGGCGCCGACGCAGCGACGCCGCAGGGCCGAACAAAAAACTCGATCCTCGCGGTGCTATGTTTCTGGGACGGCCGATCTCTGTGAAGGGGCCCAAGGACACACAAATAAATACACACAAATAAAAGGGTTCCCCATATTTTCCCATATTTTCTGGGTTTCTGTCTTCCCCCCCACTTCCCATATTTTTCTATATTTTGGGGGGAATCGACGATTAATTGTGTCTGTGTGTTTCTTTCCCTCTTGACTCTGGGTCCCCCCCTCACCCCTACCTCCCTCTACGCGTGGCTGAGTATCTCTGGGTTCCCCCCTCCCCCCTCTGCGCGTGGCTGAGTAGCTTCGGGAGCGGCCAAGAGTGGGGTGTCCAAGGGGGGGGGTGCAAATCATGACCGGCGGCATGTGCGCGGCCCAGCGGGGGGGGCCAGAGACGTCATGAAATAAGAAGAGCCACCATCAAATCTGAGGAAATATCATGGCCCCCGCCATGATATCCCCCTCCCCCCCCTAGTCATCACCCCCCTCTTTGCCGCCCCCGATAGCTCTGCCCTCGACCTCTTCTCGGCCGCAGGGAGCTCGGCCGCAGCGGCAGAGGAGAACGCCATGGGGAAGGGGGGGGGGAGCGCACGCCGGCCTGGAGGTGGCCGCGCCGGAAGAGCAGGTACCACTCCTTGGGGGCGGGGAGGGGAGGGCGAGGTGACCTCTCGGCTGCACGCAGGAGTGGCCCCGGGGTAAGAGGGACCTCTGGTGCACGCAAGAGTAACCTCTCGGCTGCACGCAGGAGTGGCCCCCGGGGTAAGAGGGCCCTCTGGTGCGCGGCTTTGGGGGGGCCGCGGGGTGGCCAAAATACAAGCGCGCAAGACGGCCACTGCCGCCTCGAGTTCGGCGATCGCGGGACCCCATTGGGTCCGCACCAGAGGTCGCTCCGGCGAAAGGTCACTCTTACGCCTAGTCGAGTTTTCAGGGAACCCCCACAAGAGTGGAGACGAAATCTCCTTTCCCACGCCCTTGTGGACGGATTGGGGCCCCACCACAAATGGACAATCATTTTTTCCTCCGCGTCACCCGCCGCGCAGCGACGACGACGACGACGACGATTACGAGTAGTCAGCGACCACGAGTAGTTAGCGACCACGACAACGAGTAACAACTACGACCACGACGGCGACGAGGAGGGGGTGCGTGCAAAAGTCCAGACCTTTATAGAGGTCGGGAGCAGTCAGCACCGAAGCGCGGCCTCGGATCGGCCGGGAGCTCCCGCCACGAAGGTCTGTGCCCAAGCCGCCCGCGAGGTTTGCTGGCGCCTCCAGGGCGAGGGTGGCGATGTGGACAGTCGCGGGCTCCTGAGGTTCGGTCGGGCGAGTCCTCCTAGAGGCGGATGTTGTACATGAAAAAATAAAGCATGCCCAAAACATACCCAAACATGATCAAAAGTACTGCATTCAAAACGTCGTCCCCAGACTAAGGTCGTCATGAACATTCCTCCTGTAGAGGAACATGAATAGTCATGAGTATTCCTCCTGTAGAGGGACATGCCCGACTTACGTCTTGCCCTGAGGCCCAAGACCAACGCGGCCGCTCGGGACGACGCGGGCACACCCGGACGCCTCTCGGCGAGGGGCAGCCGATGCAGGGCATCCCGAGGGTGGACAGCCGCCGAGACCCGACGAGGACGTGCGAAAACCTGGGACCTCGAGGCCCTGGAAGTCTGAGGCAGGAGGGCGGACCTACGAGGAAGCGGAGGCCAGGCAGGCAGCGGAGGCGGGCTGTGTGGCGGACGACGACGACGATGACGACGACCACGAGGACGACGACGACGCCGCCGCCGAGGACGCCGACGCCGACGCCGACGACGAGCGGTGTCTCGCCAGACTCCCCACCTCCTGCCGCTCCGGTGTGCTCCGGAAGAGGGCACAACTGCATCCGCACGAGCTGTCGAGGCTGCGCGCGCTGCGTCGCCGACGAATCGGCGGCAGGCCCACGAGCGCCGAGCACACCACGTCCCCCCATGCGCGGCGGGCTGTGCGGCCCCCCTCCGCTCGGCGACGAGCGGGCGATGGGGGGGTCGATGTATCGCCCCCTTCCTGGCCCCCCGAGCCCATACCCCCCGCAACGTTGCCCCTGGTGCAGAGGAAGCAAAGGCAAGCGCGTCCCACTGCTCGCAGAAGAGCTGCCTCGCAGAGGGCCTGGATCCGCCAGCGCAGGATCCTGCGACCCACGACGCGGCGGAAGGTCTGGCTGCTTCTGGCGTCTGCGAGTGGGCACTTCGCGAGTAGCGGCGCGCGCTCGGTGAAAGAAGGGGAAGAAGAGGAAGAAGGAGAAGGAGAAGAAGAAGAAGAAGGAGAAGAAGAAGAAGAATAATAACAGCTGACACGACCTGTCGACGGTCCGGCTCGGAGTTCCTGGCGCGCGGCAAGTGCCAGGGGGCGACGCCGAGAGGCGCCTCCAGGGGCAGCGCAGCGCAGATGCAAGCAATCGGCGCGGACCTCCGACGATGTGTGTTCGGGCCGTGTCTCCTTGGGCCGCGCGGTGCCCTCGGAATCCCCACAGACCTCACCGCACGGTCCGTCACCGCACGTCTGTGGGACCTGAGAGGCACCAGTCGCCCAAAAACGTCCTCGCGGCGAACGGCTCCCGAGAGTCCCAAAACCCTGCGGTGACCCCGAAGCCCCACACTCGCCACACGGAGTGGTCGATGATCCTCAGAACGTGTGCTGGCGCCAACATGCGCTTGCATCGGCAAGGAGGGGGTATGGAGCCGAATCCGCAAGCAATCTATCCCCAGGCCCCTCCCGGGGTCCGTCTGGCGCAATGTTTGAAGGGGAATTGGGACACACAAATAAATACACACAAATAAACATATCCCCCATATTTTCCCATATTTTCTGGGTTTTTGTCTTCCCCCCCACTTCCCATATTTTCCAATATTTTCCCATATTTTCTGGGAATCGCCGATTAATTGTGTCTGTGTGTTTTTTCCCCTCCTGAATGTTTCGCACCAGGTCCGGTTGTGGCGGTCCCGGGGCCGGAAAAACCGGCCCCCCGAGCCCCCAAAAAAGCAGCAACGATAACATGTGTCGAACGACGGCCCCGGCACGCTTGGGCTAAAACACACGTCCTGAGGGTCATCAGTGTGGTCACCGCACCGTCTGGGGGCCCCCCCGATCAGGGGGGCCCCCAGACGAGCAGTCGAGTGCTCGACCCAGTCCTGCCCAGGAGCTGGAGCCCTCGGGGCCTGCTGCGGGGGGCCGCCACACTTCGGCACCGCGGGGGTCCGAGGCGGGAGAGGGCGCTTCCTGCCGCCTTGCCGTGCGACCAGGGGCCTCTCCCAAGAGCCGCCGGAGGCGGCTTCAGAGTCAGGCAAGCTAGCTTGCATGGAGTTCGGAGGCAACTGCTGGGAAGTCTTCGTCGGAAGGATTAAGGAGGATTGAGCCCCATTGGGGGGCTGCTACGCCGGAATCGGCCGCGCATGAAGCGGGATTAAGGCGGAGCAAGCGGGATTAAGCCGGATGAAGCAGGATCAAGCCGGATTAAGCCAGATTGAGCCGGATTCCTGACCAGGGAAAAGTCAGAATCTGACCTCCCAGGAGTTGCGTCCGAAATCGAGGGGGGGGGGCGTGGGCATGGCGGGGCCCGATAGGAAACCCGACCTTCACGCAAGTCGAGGCTCGCTTGCACCCCGTTCTCGGCCCAGCGCTGGCCGAAACGGCGGCGGAGGGAAGGGGGCGGCGGGGGGGGTGGCTGCCAGGCAGGGAAACTCGCTCGTGCGCGGGAGCGCGGCGCCTCCGCAGGGGAGCGCAGCGGGCACCGTGCAGGAGCCTCACGGGCCCATGGGCGGGCCCTCTTCGTCGCCCTCCTCCTCCTCCTCCTCCTCCTCCTCCTCCTCCTCCTCCTCCTTCTCGTCCTCCCCGTCGTTCACTTCCTCCTCCTCCTCCTCCTCCTCCTCCTCCTCCTCCTCCTCCTCCTCCTCCTCCTCCTCCTCTGCACACGGGCGGGCCCCATGTTGGAGGCGCGGAACTGGGCACCAGCACCAACGTACGGGGAGTCGCCTCCACCGGGGGAAGATGGATCCTGGATTTGGGCAGCGGGGCGACCCCATGGGAGCCGCGGGCACCGCGCAATGGTCCCCACTGTTTTCCCGCCGGGCACGGCGCCCACGGGCCGTGCTGCTGGCACGCCGGCAGCGCCCTCTGCGGGAGGGGCCTCACAGCGCCGCGCCGCCGGCGGTGGACTCGAGGAAGGCGCTCAGGCACGGAGCCACCTGCTTGCGGCTCGCGGCGGAGTTGCCCTGGCTGAAGGCGAGGGCACCGGGCGGGCCGCCCTCCGGCAGCGGCAGGGGCTGCAGCGACAGCACTGGGTCCTCGAAGCGGGCGGCGTACTGGGCCGCCTCGGAGGCGAGGGCGCCGCCGTCGGAGCTCATCAGTAAGAGCTCCCGCGCGACGCCGTCCTTGCACTTCCTGTTCGACAGGACTCCAAAGAGGTCCACGCCCTGCGCCCACCTGGCGGACTCTTCGGCCCAGCCCGCCTTGCCCACCAGAGCATGCAGGCTGCAGAGAACACTCGAGAGCCCCAAAGCCCTCCCGCCTGCCTCGAAACGCTTGTAGTCGTATCGCAGGCACTGGTCTGCCCCCAACTGTTCCCAGAATTTGTCGTCGAACTTCGCGGCATCCAGCTGCCTGAACAGCTCGTCACTCGCTGGCGCTGGCGCCAAGCTCTGGAGACTCTCGGCGGCAACGACATCACGCGGTGTGACCTTCTGGAACCTCTGTTCCAAACCAACCGTGTCGATAAGTATGACTCCAAGCAGCGCCCTCGCAGCTGATCCGTTCTCGCATGCCAGCAGTGCCCTGCCGGACGGGCTCTCCAAAAAAGCCTCGGCCACCAGGGTGCAGCAGCTGCCAGCAGTGGCCTTCGCGTCTTTGAAGGCGATGTTCCGAGCAGGCCCAGTCACGTTAGTATGCTGTCCGAGGTCCTTATGGTGGTCGACGATGATAGCGACCCGTCCTGCTGCGATGTCAGCCACTAGGCCGGTTGCTTTGTTATGGTCGACCAGCACAACTCTGTTCGCATGCTCGAGCAGTTCCTTCGCCTGCGGATCGTCCAGAAAAATCAGGCTCGCCGAGTCCACGCCGCACAACTGCAGCAGAAGGACGGTCTCTGAACGAAGGCGCATGTCCGCGCGGTTGCACGCAACGATGGGCAATGCACGCTCACCGCCTTGATCTAGAAGGTACGCGTAGGTCAGCGCGCTGACGATACTGTCGGCGTCTGTCGGAGCAGGGCCAGAAGAGACAAAGGCGGCTCACACGTCCAGCCCAAGTCCTCGCAAAATCGGTCCCAACCCCTTCCAGGGACCATTATGACAATTGATTTGCGGCGGTTCCAGCCGTGGCGACGAGAAGCCTCGAGGAGGCCAAAGAAGGACGAGGAGCACTAGGCTTAGGTCGGGCATGTCCTCCTACATGCGGATTCTGGACGAACAATTTGAACATAGTTTTAAACATACCAACCCAAAAATGTCAAGAACAATATCATAAAACATCGTCCCCAGTTGATGTGTTGACTATGTTTGAATACTCCTCCTGTAGAAGGCCAGGCCCGTCTTAACGCTAGGCAGGGGCGTCGTGGTCTCGGCTTGCCCTCCTCCGAGTCTGCCGCCTCATTCCCCACGACGACAGTGACACCCGCGGCTGGTGCCAGGGAGGCGGCTTTCAGCGCAGCTGCCCATCTCTGCAGTGGCACCATCGGCCGACGCGCGCACGCAGAAAGTCAGGGCAGCATCAAGCTCCGAATGCGCACGAGCCAAATACGAACGACTCGTGCATCAACATGCAGGCGACACAACCGCCCTGAGATCTGGGCGTTGTGCTTGTGTTCCCACAGTGCGTCTTCGCTCGCTTTCGGCCCCAGGACCATCACAGATCGATCCAGCTCGAAAAATGCCGCAGAAGGCTCGGGCTCGAGAGCTCTGGTCGCGATGTTTCGTGATTTTGGCAATGTGAGCGTAACAACTGATCTCACAGAGCACGCGGGGAACAAAACCGTGTCTGTGCCATTCGTCCTCTGTCGACCTTGCGTGACGGCGCGAGAAAGAATCCTTAAAACGACCTACATCCATGTTTAACTGGCTCAGACTATCGAGAACTTCCGTAAAGCGCGATACCCTCGTATGACCAGTAGACTCAAAGGAGACTCAGGGCCGCTAGGGCCAGGGCCAAACCTGCGCCTGAAACGACGCAACATCCCCACGTGAGATAGCACTGGTCATTGGTCCCTGCGTCCTCGAGCCCCTCTCTCTCTCTCTTTTCTCAATTTCGCCCCCTTCCGTCACCCCTACTTCCATATGGCCTCGCAAACGCTCGATCTCTGACTCTCTCTCTCTCTCTCTCTCTTTCTCTTTCGCCATGGCCCGAGGCGCGTGCACGCGGCCAAAATGGGGGGACGGTCAGAGGACGCGTAGAACTGGCGGGCTAACGGCGATGTTGCTTGACGGTGATGTTGGGAACCAAAGTATCAGACATCAAGAACCACACGTTC